TAGCGACTCTTCGTACTGCCTTAGAAGCGTAAAAAAACGTAAAAAACGTAAAAAACCTTGGAAGCGCTGTGGATTTCAGCAAAAGACCCCTGATGAACAGGAGAGAGGAATGTGTAGTCATAACACGTGAACTCGCGCCCTTCGCCGACCTATGTGGTTTTTGATCTACAATGAGGTCGCGGAGTAGAGGTGTAAGCTCATTGTTAGTTGTACTGCAGCTTGGGTGGTCGATCATTGCGGCTGAGATCAAGGTAAGCCAGCTCACTTTTATCGATTCTATACCGCTAGAGGGTTTGCTAGGATATCGAAATGGTCTTATGTTCTTGTGGGGCGTTCGAGGGAACAATCTCAATTGTTTTGGACTTCTTCAGGCCCTGACGAAGGCGAGGAAGCCGAAACGTTGGCCAATAAATCATAAATTATAAAAATCTTGGACGGCTAAAATTATCCACCTGCTTGAAAATACAACAATGCCAAGATTATAGAAGGTCGATCCTGGTCGACTCTTCGTACTGCAATATCGCTTCCTTCACACACTCCAGAGTGATGTGGGTAAACTGCTTCAAGACCACGGCATGGTCAAGTGATCGTTTTCTTTCCGATCAACGTGCTGTCAAGCACTCTCTCCATCGTACGCATTGCTGTCATTGCTCGAAATCAGGAAGATACAGCGGTGCGTCACCCTTCATACTTGAACACCATCACTTTCTCTCGCTAGCGTTCACTGCACCACTATAAGGTTTGCAGCAATATTAGATCACACTCAGGCTGTTACACCAAAACGAATTTCATTGTTTTCAAGAGGAGTGCTTAACAACGTGATTGTCGCAGAATGGACGAGACAAGACCGCCCACATTGGCTGCCTTTGAGCGATTCGTTGTGGGGGAATCCTTGAAAATCCTGCTGCATGCGGTGCCGTTTTTTTAAGGAAGTTCACTGACCAGGTCTTGGAGGTGCAACTGTCTGACAACACAAGACACATGAAGCTATCAACGCTGATGGTGCCACCAGCCCATAAGCACCCATCATCCGTTCCTCAGACTTCATTACAAATGACAGTCACCCCCATTTATTCCTCGCACGACTCAACCATCCATATGACAGCGTTGGCACCTAGCGTATCGCGCTATGCGCCACAACCAGAGCAACAGCAGCCAGGCCACGCCATCGCTGTGGAAATCACAACTCGGCGGAGGGGTCGTAAGCGCACGGCTCATCCTCGTAGCGGGAAGAGCAGCAGTACATGTCGTGCAATAACAGATTAATAAAAGATTTATTCATGGCTCTGGTTTTGGAGGTCACCTGGTCAAAGGCAAGTCGCAAGCACAGGAGTGGGGACGCCAATGACACGGTAGGTGCCTACGACGATGTCATAAATTAATGAACAAACAAAATATGTACATCTGCTTGCACGAAAAGCCATTCAGAAAGTTACATCTTCCCAACACCTCTGCGTGGGAGTCGGATGCATGGCGCAGTAAAGATACGCCAGTGGACGGCGAATGAACTAGTTCCTGCAAACTGTTTCCTATTTTTCTCATGTAAATATGATTGTAGCAATAGCTACAATTAGTTCATTACTTTGGGCTTTCATTTCAAGGGTTAACTTGTTTATTATAGGAAAAATGATCTGCTTCACTAACGCGCTGTGTACAATGATTGATAAGTATCTTTGAGGTGATAAGATAGAATATGGTATAAGAAGTGATGGCAAGCCGGTATGGTTCATTCATTCAGAACACATCGCAATTCAAGGAGTGAAGCCTCGACGTCCAATAGTGGGACTCCATTCAAGAGCAGGGATTCAAGGCGTCCGGCAATAAACTTGTTCTTGATACACGTCCTCATACACAGTCAACACAAAACACCGTGGCAGCAAAGCACTTCAAATTTGGTGTGCGGGAAAGGACCCGCACTAACAAGCTAGCCGCCGCTGGCCGATCTCTTGTAGATATGTAGTAATGTGTACTTAATCAATGTCAGTATATTACTCGTGTAAGGCCCACACATAATGTCATCATAGCCTTAAAACAAGCAACTTAAAATCATCTCAACCTAAGTACCAATGCCATATCAATAGCCAGATTTCCATTGTAGCAACTTTTGATTCTTGTTGTTTTCGTCATCAAGTAAAGGTTTCAGTTACAAGTGTATTCTCTTGTGGGACGGTTCAGTCCGAAGCTACCTCTGTCTAATTACCTGTCTCATTACCAATACCAGACTTTAGCTCTTCAGTGCACAGTGCAATCGTCTGGCAAAAGAAGGCGACGACAGCTTGGACAACACCCGATTCTGTATTGGAGTGGCCTAAAGCCAAAAAGAAGACTACGGCTGGTAACCCAGAAGCGGGTGAACGAGAGGATAGCGAACCGAAGAAGCGTAGCTGAACCACCGACGCCAAGCAGGTTGGGACTTTACCGTCTTCTCACAAATACTACACTTTCTAACTTATCGGCGAACTACGAGCTCAGGTCAGTTCAGCATTCGTCTCTTCAGTAGTTCAGATTCACAGGGCGGTACCTCACTCAATTCTGGAATCAAGTCCACCGCTCCTATTTGGACATCAACCACCAGCTTCGCTTTCTCTTTCAGCAGGAACTACCAATCAATTTTACGGAACTACAATATGTGGAATTGCGCTGGGAGCATCATGGCAAATCAGATCGCCACACGTAAGCGCTTGTTAACATTGTTCACTAATAAGTTAGAAGAATCAATAAGAGGGATCAAGGCAGAAGAAGTAGAAGAGCTCTTCATTTGATAGTTCACAAGAAGAAAAAACTGAGAAGATAAGTAGGGCGCGAGAAGCGATTACTTCGATAGAGGCTCTAGTCTGACAACCCAAGAAACACCAATATTAGTGAGCAACCAGGATCTCGAAACAGTAGTTATCAAAAAGAGTAGAAAACCGCAAATGGAAGGCTTTTTGATTTTGTAGTTCTCCTTGCATAGCGCGCTCCGACGATTTCTCCGCAACACACAACAAAGTTGATCAGTCCAGTCCCATGAAATGAAGGCAGCTTCTTCCGAATGCGATACCAATACCAGAAAGCGCCGTACAGGGCAAAGCTATAGAGTTACCACCGCTTCCCATCCCAACCTTCGATGTTCTTGATACACGTCGCTCATCAGTCAGTCAGCAATCAACACAAAAGGAATGCGTGGGCAGCACAACACTGTCAAATTTGGTGCATCCGGCGAACTTTACGAACGGCAGAGGCCAGTCTCAGCATTCGTCTCTTCAGGCAAGTTCTAGAGCTCATAGGGCGCGTACCCGCCCCCGTCACTCCGTCTGGATAACACCACCGCTCCTATTTGACATCCAACCTTCAGCTTCTCGTCTTTCTCTTCTCTCGCAGCCAGGAACGATACCGAATCTACGTTTTACGGAACTACATATGTGGATTGCCGCTGCGGAGCATCTGCAAATCCATGATCACCACACGTATAGCGCTTGTTACATTGCTCACCGTTTCTTCGAGCATGTTAGAAGAATCAATAAGAGGGATCAAGGCAGAAGAAGTAGAAGAGCTCTCAGTTGCATTTGATAGTTCACAAGAAGAAAAAAACTAATAAGATAAGTAGAGCGCGAGAAGCCATTAGTTCTATAGAGGCTCTAGTGACGAAAGCTCTATTCGAGTTGGCAGCAGAAGTTGACAACCAAGAAAACAAAAAACACCGAAAATTAAAAATTAAAGGTGCGAAACGCAACAGGATCTCGAACACTATTCAAAAAGAGTAGAAACCGCGAAATTGAAGGCTTTTGATTTCGTAGTTCTCTTGCAAAGCCGCCTCCACGATTTCTCGCAAAACACAACAAAAGTTGATCAGGCAGTCCCCATGAAATGAAGCAAGCTTCTCCGAATGCGATACCAATACCAGAAAGCGCCGTACAGGGCAAAGCTATAGAGTTACCACCGCTTCCCATCCCAACCTTCGATGTTTCTTGATACACGGGCGCGGTGTCATCGAGGAGGGTGAGCAGTGAGGGCACGAAGAGGAGATGGCGGTGCAGCAAAGACACTTCAAGTGTTGTGCAGTCGGCGACTACGAGCAGGAGCCAGTTCAGCATCTGTCTCTTCAGCAGTTTCAGACTCTATCAGGGGTACCAGAGCTCTCAGTTCTGGCATCAAACCAGGGCCGCTCCTTATTGTGACATCAACTTAGCTTACGCTTTCTTTCCAGCAGGAACTAACCAATCATTTTTACGAACTACAATGATGTGGAATTGCGGCTGGAGATCTGGCAAAACTCAGATTCACAACGTAAGCGCTTGTTGACATTGTTCACACGTGTCTCATGTTGGGAGAAGATAAACCCCCCCATAAGAGGGATCAAGGCGGGGGAAGAGGAGTAGAGAGCGTCTCAGTTGGCATTTTTGATAGTTCACAAGAGAAAAAAACTAATAAGATAAGTAGAGCGCGAGAAGCCATTAGTTCTATAGAGGCTCTAGTGACGAAAGCTCTATTCGAGTTGGCAGCAGAAGTTGACAACCAAGAAAACACCAATATAGTGAACAACAGGATCTCGAACAGTATTCAAAAAGAGTAGAAACCGCGAAATTGAAGGCTTTTGATTTCGTAGTTCTCTTGCAAAGCCGCCTCCACGATTTCTTGCATACACGTCGTCATACACAGTCAGCAATCAACACAAAACACCGCGTGGCAGCAAAGCACTACAATAATCTATACAAGTCGTCCAAGATTTGTATTACTTCTTATTAGCAGAGGCCAAGGTTTAGACGTCTTCGCCTTTGTCAGTGCCAGCAAGGAAGAAATACGCATGACAAAACCCGTTTCATTGCTTCGGCAGAGATAAAGACGAATCAGGCAAAGGCCAACCAGCAAATCCTACTCCAGCCAGCTTCGTCAATAGGACGAACCACCGCAGCTTAGTGTAGTCTTCTTCTTCTTCTCCCTAGCGTTAGTCCCGCGCTGTCACATGTCAGTAGTAGTCGCAGTTAAGTAGTCGTAAAGCCGATTGCGGACGAGGAGACATTTTAAGTTGGTTGGGGCATCTCTAGTTTTCTACAAGCAGCACCTCTGCAGAGTTGCGCGAATCGCGCGGCTTTTTTCTTCGAACGGGAAACAGACCGGTACTACTGTCGGAGTTATGTATGTCGTAAACTCTGCGATGATGGAAAGAGCCTCCATGTATTGCACCGTACCTTTGGATATCCATTGGACGAGGCGATGTTGCGTACTACACTGAGCGCTTCCCTTTTTTCAAGTCCAGAGAATACCTTGCTGACAGTCCTGAAAATGCTGCGAATTAGTGCTTGCTTTGTTCTTGTTCGTATGTGGCGAACTTAGCAATGAACAAAGTGTTTTTGTTGTTCGCCTGGGTACATTTCGTTCCTGACGCATGTTTCCCAACACTGGAATTGAATATTGGGGAACTGGAAGCCATCTATGGGTTTTCCCCTCGTGAATTCGATATTGACCGACAGCTCATTCAGAAGGTTGAAACACATGTCCACTTCGCCTTGAGTAAGGCATATTATGAGACAGTCGTCACATATTATGAGACAGTCGTCAGTGTAACGGCAAAAGAGAAGCGGTCCATGGTTCAAGCACGGGTTTCTCAATTCTAGATACAAACAGTCATGGGGTGGAAACGGGGAGCTGAGTCGTTTGCCATGACCATAACCCCCTCAGGCTATTTGTAATAGTCGCTGGACCACATGAAGGTGTAACCATTCAGACACCCTGCCCCCATGTTCATGATTTGCGAAATGGTGAAACCGAAGAGATTGAGAGCGCGCCCATGGGTTCACAAAGTACATTAATAATGTATGCTCCAGTTGCAGGGGTCATATGGCATCACGTAATAGTCTCAAATCACGGTCAAATGACTCTGACACAGAACGCCTTCTTGAATATTGACTGTGGATAACTTATGTAACAAGATTCGGCAATCGTCGGTGAGTGTGGTAAATGGTCCAAAGCTATATTTCAGAAACCGGCAATGGAATTTTGTCAGTTAGGATCTGCATGCTTCTTATTGATTGGTCTAACTTTGAAGACACTGGGGTCGCTCGAGCTCAACTCTAAGTGGGTGAACTTGTGTGTCTTCATCAGAACGTACAGGATGGGATAAAGTAGCAGATCACACTTCAAACGACTAATCGTTTTGCAGGCAGACCTGCATTTTCGGTTGCGAAGATCACTAAGCCGTACGCCGTGGGAAGGCCATCGCTATGAATTGTGATGAGGAATACTTGAGCATTCCGGGAACAAGTGTGTCTATTATGACAATGGACGCTGCGAGTCCAGCGCTGAAGGGTTGTAGCATTTTGGTTCAGCCGTCGAAACTCATCAAAATGAGGCGAGAGAAGGAGCATCGTTGCCCTACCAGTGAATTCGCATCATTTGCCGACCTTTGCGGCTTATCATTAACATCAGATTCGATGACATGCCGTCGTAGAGCTCATATTGAATTCTAACTATAATAAGGCAGAAAGGGTCACCAGCTTGAAAGCCAGTTTCAGTTTCGGTGGGATTTGCTAGTGGACCTTGGTCTGCTCTGACGAAGGCAGAGACGTCGAAGCGTTGGCCTTTGTTAATAAAGAAAATAAACCAGTAATCCCAAAAGTTACCATTAGACTTTGAAAAAAATTATATTCTGTATGCAAACTGGAAATGGTTCTGCGCCGGAGTGTGCATTTTCCGCGTCGTCCCAGACTTGTCCAACAAAATCACATAGGAAAATTTTCTAAGTAGTGAGCATGAGAAAAAGAGATGTGCTTTCTAAAAAAAGAAAGTTTCCCAGATTCCACCACTGATTTTGGTCTCTTCAGAGATCGCACGTGAAGAAAGTCGTGGATGTTAAAAGCAAAAAAAAAAAACTCGTATGTGCTATCAAAATGTCATAACGCGCGTTTTACAAGGACGTGAAAATTTCTTGTTGTGAAGCGAGGTGATTGAAATAGCTCAGCATCCTGGTTAATCGCTTCCTACTATATATAATCACGCTAAGTTTTGTCCTGTTGGTGTGTGTGTGTGGTTGTGTGAATTTGGTCTTGTATGTCTGTCTGTATGTGTGTTTGACCCGGAAATTCGTAACTTCCTTCAAGCGATAGTGCGCTCAAACTGATAAGTAATGTAGGAGATCGTGCAGGAACACTATTGGTAGGGGAGCAGGAAGTGATAAGGGCTGATGAGATAAGATAAGGAGCCTTAGAAGGGATGGAACCACCAAACTCAATAACGCCCGGCCACAGCAACGACGGGACGTTGGTTCCAAGAAGTAAGATAGGGGGCAGGATGGGAACATTATTGGTGGGCGGCCAGACGTGATAACAGCTGATAAGATAACATAAGGAGCTTAGAAGGGGAGGGGCACAAAATCCACAACGTGCATCACAGTGACGGTAGGGCCTTGGTTCCAAGGAATGATATAGAAGGTAGGATGGGGGGCAATTTATGTGGTGATTGACAGGACGTTGGTAACAGTTGATAAGATACCACAAGGGGCCTTAGAAGGGAAGGGTCACAATTGCATAGCATCGGCCACAGCGACGATTGGATGTTGGTTTCAAGGAATAAGACAGGGGCAGAATGGGAACATTATTGGCAAGACGTGCATTCAAGCTTGATAAGGTTCCATAAGAGGTTGGTTCACCAAATTCATAGCGCGGGCCACAGCGACGACGGGACGTTGGTTCCAGGAAGTTAGATAGGGGCAGGATGGGAACTTTATTGGTGGAAGGTAGGACCTGATAACGTTGATAATGTACCCAGGACCTTTTTTGAAGAAAGTGCCCCGTAGTTCATAGCATGAGTTGTAGGAGCACTCGGGAACTGTTTCCAGCAAGTCATCCAGAAGGGGTTAAGGTACATTGGTGAAGGTAGATAAGTTGTGATATAGTGTGAAAAAGGGTTCATGAGGGACAGTATCCGTTCTCATCATCACTCTACTCGGCCTGAACATGAGCACCGGTGACCAAGAAGCAATGATCAGAGGCTTAGTGAGAAAAATTATTCTATCAAATTATTCTATCCCTTGGCGATATGGTCGAGATTGATTTCGACGCTTAAACTGCTCCGTGTTCGACAATAAAATCCTGAAATCTGCTCAACAAAGTTCTAGGTCATGTGAGGATATTTAGCTATGATCCGTCGATGTTATTTAATCATCCGAAACCATTTCAAGCACTAACCAGGAAGGTCGTTCAGGGCGTGCCCCGCTTTTTCGAAACGGTTTATTGCACTCTGTAGGGCCTTGCCCATGAACCATAAAAGTGGGCTTCATTTTTGCTGTGCGGCTCCAGGAACGCCAAAAAAGGAGCGAAAAAGAAACCTATGGAAACTGAGTGTTTTTGAGCCTCTACGAGCTGTAAACCGCTTGAAACTTTGACCAGTTGCTGAATGGAGGGACCCTATAAAGGTACTATCGGAATCGAAGAGAAAAGTAGTCGGGGTATGGGGTCTTACTTGTGGCACGTGATCAAGAGAGAACGGCTTCATGGAATGGTTTCTTCAACGATCGGAGGAATGTTCAGCAACAACGATCGGATGGCCTAGTGGATAGCGTGAAGGAATCTCAAGCGGACAGTTGGGTGGGGTTGATGGTTCGACTCCCCTCGGCGTGCGAGTTTTTGCATTTTTTATGTTTTGCTGTTTTCGCGTTCAAATATGTCTGTGCGTGAGTATGCGTTCGATAACTGCCATTTATGGGCACATTTTAAATGGAACACACTGCTATTCAATTATTACAGGTTTTACATACCATTAAGCAAGACCGTCATTGAAAAGAGTTGACCACGTTCATAGGTCAGACCCATGCCGAATCCCGATGTGAACTCATTTGTAGCGTGGTGCCATTCTTACTCGGTAAATATTGGAGTTGACAACGTTTGTTTTCATAATGCGTTGCTACCACAAGTAATCGCGATGTGGTAGCGGCTACCGCAGCGCCAAAATACGTCGGCGCCGGAAAAATAAGTGTTGGAAATATGATGCGGGGCCATCAATTAACCTCTGTAAACAAATGGCTTTCAGCCTAAAAAATTTTTTTTTTCGACTTTTTTGGTGTCGCCCGCCGGTGGTTGTGCCGAAGTCTTTTTCCATTGAAGTCTACAGTGGGCCGGCATAGTGGACCCCTAAAAATCTTATTGAATATCCAAGATAAAGTGACTATGCGATGAATTCATGGCAAAGCAGGAAGGGAAAGGGGGCTTCCACCAGGTTGGGCTGTCTGCTGCCCGGCTGCTACGTCGTCGTTCATGCATCGTATTTTTCACGAAAGATGGATACTCGCGGTCACTACTACGACCAAATGGTCCACCAAAACCCAAAAAATCGAAAAAACTTTTTTGGCTAGAAGTTCGTCCATAAGGGTAGTCGATGGTCCTGATTACGATTTTGACACTTATTTTCGACGTCGACGCAATTTGGCGCCAGTATAGCGCTTAAAAACAGCCGCTCGCGAGTCAAAGTGCTGCGTGGTCGGCCTTTGCTGTGCAGTGTCTAGCCTCCAAGCTAGAAGACTGTTCAGCCTTTCGCGAATCTATGTGAGCGTGGAGGCTGCTATAGCCGCTCAAAGTGCTAGTTCTAACTCCTCCTCAGTCGGACCGCCTTTACTTGCTAGATGTCCTCCGACGGAGGCCACTCACTTGTTCTTATCTTTGGTTGAGGGGCGGGTATTGCTTTAATGCCAATGCATAATTTGCTCTCTTTCATTGATAATTTACTGCATTGCCGGTATAACTATTGAGGTTGGTCGGAAAAGTCCTAGAGACACACTTTGATCAATTTTTTCGGACTAATTTTCAGTCGCTAAATAGACATGCCGTCTCAATCTAGACAAGGTTAATCACCGACTCAAGGACTGGGCTAGTGCACTTCTTTTGCACAGCTTCTCATTTCCATTCTTATAGAACTACGGCAACTATGATAAGAAGAAGAGGTGGACCTCATTTTTGGGTAGACGTCGATTTTCGGAATTTTTGCCTTCTCGAAGATGCGTTAGGGATCAAAAAAGGTGTAGTTAGAGACTGCTAACTTTGATGAACAACCTGGGTATGGTCGCATTCTCAGATCAAGATTCACGATCTTTTGGTGTGGCCTGATCCTAACATGCGGTCTTGCATTTGCGAGCGTGGTGAAAAAATTGAGTATTTTGAAGACATTCCAAGCGTTGACGGGTCATCCATGTTTGTGGAGGTTGGTTTAGAGGTGGACTGTAGTCCTTACCGGGTGTGCTGGTATCTCAGGATCCGCTGTGCAGTCCCAGAAGTAATACTGAATCTTTATCCCATGCACATCTGCTTTTGGCTGTGCAATCTACTTGTCTGTTCGAGAGATCCTGCGAGGAACATGTGCAAGATGTACGCAAGGACCCCACACCACTTCTCACCGAACGCACAAGATCTCCAAATGTTCTCGCATTGTGTCAAGGAAAAGAAAAATTTCGAGCTCATGGTCATTCGGTATGACTTGTCAGAGGGGTTCAACTCATGAGGCATCCTTCATAAAAAATTTTCCGATAACCGAGACTGCGGAGAAGCATGGCAGTTGTCAGTTAGGTGGAGCCTAGAGAGGTTGCCAACTTACTGGTGGTTACGTTCGGCTGCGCCTCAAGAAG